GAGAGAGAGAGAGAGAGAGAGAGAGAGAGAGAGAGAGATGGATGGTGGGCGCCCACCTTCATGGCTGCCCGCCCGTCTCCCGCTGCCCGCTGCCGCTTCCCGCCACTGCTTCGAGCCGATGGTGTCCTGCGGCTGCCGTTCGGCGATGGTGTCCCGCCGTGTCCCTCCCTTCCTCCTTCGTCTGTCTCCCGCTTCTCCCACCTTCGCCACCCTCCCCCCGCTGCTCGCCGCCTTCGTTGCCCACTTCAAGATTCGAACGGTATCGTATCTCCCTCCCTCCTTCACGTCGTCAAGATTCGAATGGTGGGCGGGCGCGCAACTCCGGGTGAACTGCCATCCCCCTTGTCCAAATTTTTTTGGGGGGAAGGGTCTGCCGAATTCGAAATTTCAAATTCGGCAGGCCCTTCCCCCCAAAAAAAATTTCGGAGGTCGGGCGCGGCCGGTTTCCTGACTCGCGCGCCCCGGCCGTCATTTTTGCCGTGGTGGGGGCCCGCCTTCCTACCAAAGACAAAAGAAAAAAAAATAATTTCCCAGACCCCTAATTTCGGCCGTTTGGGGCGCCGTGGTGCGCTGTGCAGTGCGCAGCGCTACGTGCGCAACTCGTGCGCAAACCGGCGCACCGTCGTGCGCCGCAACTATGATGTAATGTAAAACAACAATACAAGCAACTTTCAGCCTGGAGTCATGCTCAACTTCTTAGCCAAACGTGAGTTCGAAATCAAAACCGAATTTTAAAATTTAAAATTTTATATTTATTTTAATGAAAAAAATGCAATGAACCTCCTAGTTCAACACCAGTGAGTGCACATATTCACACCACATGCATGTACGAGTTCACACGAAATTCACACTGGAGACCAGAGAGATGAAGAGCAGGTAGCGCAGCTGATCATTTCCAGAAAGTATTACAAGAGCAATAAAAGTTCAAGTCACCAGCGCTCATCAGCGCGTGCCAATTGGTAACCAATTATCAACATAAACTCTCAGGTAAGTATCTCTTCCCCTCTGCTCTCCCTCTTATGTATCTCTCCACCTTACCGGTCTTCTCCCTAGCTATGGCTGCCTTCTCCCTGCCAGCGCTATCTTCCTCTCTCTCCCTCACTTAGTGCAGCACTCTGGCCTCAGCGCTCTGCTCCTCACTTCAGCGCACAAGTGCACCAGCACTTCCACACTCCTTGCGAATGAGCCATCTCCTCGAATGTGAGGCTGGCCAGTCCTTTTGTAGTCTTGGTTTGCACTTCAACTCGTGCCAGCCTCTGTTTCTTGGGTCCTGACTGGTTCCGGTACCACATCCCCACGACCTGTCTGCTTCTGAATGTCAACGCCTGGAACCTTCCCGAATTTCCATTGGACTGCTGCTGCTTGGTCCTTTGAGTCATGCCTTTTCACTTGTGAACATGACTTTTGACTGTGGACAGTGTCTCTTGCCTGAGGGTCACGACTTTTGCCTGTGATACTACGTTTTACTCGTGAGATGTGTCTCTTGACTCTCTTCAATATGACTTTTCATTAGGAAACGTGACTCCTGTCTTAAGACACGACTCTTGCTTGGTGAATCTGCCTTTTCACTCGTGGAATGTGACTTTTCTGAAGGGTTTCTATTATGAGACGTGACTCTTGTCCCTGAGACGTGACTGTTTGCTGGGTGCCTGTTGGACCAGACTGCTAAGGTACCGGATTGTGACTTTTCTGAGGTTGACGAATGCGGCCTTTTCTTGGCCTGGGCATCTGACCCTGAGATCCGAATTTGGCGTCTGAAGCGTGGAAGGCCTTTCAGACCGATCCCCTTTTCAATTGGTTGATTGGATTGACGATCCAACAGACACACATTTTCCCTATGTCCAATGGGGTGGTGGTTTAGCAGCTCCCAGGTAACATTCGCTGGACACATTCAAACTTTTGTATAAAGTCATAGCGAGGATGCCATGTGTTTGAGGGAAGATGGTAGCAAAAAGGAAGTTTGAGGAGAAAAGCATGAGGGACTATTTACTGTTGTTATCACCACCTTCATCAGCAACTACTGCAAAACAAGAGCAAACATGATTTATGAGCCGTAACTTACTGTCACTGCAAGCTCAAACCTACCTCACAGATTTCACCACTGTTCTCAGCAAAAATTGAGTCCTCCCCGTCGCCATCACCTTCTGCAAGTGCTGCCGCAATATTGGCATTCAAAACTCTCCCGAATGGAGCACTTATGGTTCGTCGAACCCTTCCATCTTTGCTGGCCAGAGCTGTTGCCAAAGGTTGGACTTGTGCTTGCGCTTGACCTTGTACTTGTGCTTGCGCTTGACCTTCTGCATGCACTTGTGTCTGGCCTTGTGCTGCTTGCACTCTAGCAGCATCTTGAGGAACAGAGAGAATGTCCTCAGGTCGTGGGGCAGCAGCTGTTGGCTTTGCACCCTCTGCTTTGGCATGTTCCTCACCAGACCTCATATCAACGGTTGATGTTGACTCATGAGCAGCAGTCGACCCAGCCAGGACGCCACTTGCCTGCCTTGGCATGGACTCTGGTTCCTGAGCATGCCTTTCAGGCATGCTGGGCACACCCTCAGCTGTCGGCCCTGACTCTGGCAGTTTCTTTTTTCTCTTCTCTTTCTTGTCCCTCTGCGGCCTGTCCAACAACCCACACAGTTTTCAGTCCGAGAAATCTGAGTTTTTTCGGAGCATATTTGTGCATTTGCTGAGATTCTGAGTTTTGGGTGAGTTTGGACAGAGATCTCCGAGATTCACTGATCAATGGCTTCTCCATGATGAATCTACGTATATTCCTGTAAGTTTTGGGAAATTTGAACGATACAGAGTATTACAGACGGCATGGCTCCCCCCATGAAAATTTGAATGATACAGAGAAGTTTGCCCATGGCCCCTTTCGAAACGGCTGAAAACAACAGGCCACACTGGTCTCTGATGTCTGATGTTCGGATGCTGTCTGTACGGGTCCGCCGTTAGCATGAGGAGGTGCGACTGGCTGCCAGGCTCTGTAGCCTAGCCTTATTTGCATACCTCAGATGCAATCGACTCACTGCAGACCGTGCAGAACAAGGGAATTTCCATTTTTTCCTTTTTTCGGCCAGGCAGATAAAACTCACTCCCACACATGCAGGAAAACAAAGGGGATTGGGAAAGTGCCAAAAAAGCACCACACCTTGGATGGAAACAAGAAAAGAGAGGAGTTGGTGGCGGGGTAGAGATAGGGTAAGAAGGGGAAGCATGCTATGACAGAAGTATGACGCTAAACTACCCCTGGACCCTCTCAACCGGAGGTAATATCTGCTGGACACCCCTAGGACCTGTAACTGTGCCAAAAGGTGTCATTTTTGGCCCAGAAAAAGACCACCAGAGGCTCTCTTCATAACAGACCTACCTAGCTGCAACCGGCCAATTAAACAGCCGTGATAGTTTGGAATGCACAGTGGGGATCCTAACGTCAGTTCAGGGTGTGGTCTGTTAACTAGAGCTCAGAAAGAGTCGGAGTTAGCAATCCATCCAAGTTGATCTTCTTTTTTTTCCTTACGCATCAAGGATCAGCAGGGCATGCACTAGGGAATATGATAAGCGGTTCGTGCGAATTGGAGATCAAAAAGCATGTCTCAGCAAAACCATGGATAGCAGGCAGAGCTCTGCGAGTGCAACATCTCTGCAAAATTGTATCTCAGTAGACTGGTACTAGAGCTGTTGACAATAGATAAATGACAAAAAGGGTCATCGATTTTTATTTATTTATTTACTTTTAAGAGGGAAAAAAAGAGCAGGTCCTTAGGGGCCCACTGGCCTATCCATTCTGGTGAGCATCAGTCCGGTTCCTATTCCCCAGCAAACCAGAAAACATGCATGGTTCACACACTCTCAACGTTCCCAGCATCATGGCCTAGGGAACCATGACAGCATTGATTACTTCCTTCAGAAGAATTGACTGCCAGTCTGGCCCACTCTAAAGGTCAGACCCGTCCCTCTAGCAGCAGAATTACCCCCTGAAAAGACATGATGAGAAAGCAGTCCTTGAAGTCCCTCTCAGTCTATTAAAAGAGACGGTTAAGAGTTTTTGATGTAAGCCCATCCAGATAGCAAATACTGTGCCTGAACGGCCGAATACACAACAAAACATTGCCTTTGACCCTGGTAAACAGGTGCAAGGAAAATGAGCAAAGCAAATGACATAACCAAATTGCATCATTCTCTAGAAATCCAGATAGCCATGTGCGCGAACTGAAAGCAGATTGCAACAGGAGATGTAACAAACAAACAAGAGCAAAGCACCAAACTCCATTGGCAATGAAAGCCCTCTCCTCGCCTCCAACATCAATGTCCCCAATGTCGCTCTCCTATATGGCGCTCGGCGTCCGGACTACAATCAGACAGCACCTATCAACCTAGACGCTACAGTGACAACAACAGATCTTCAGCAGCCCGATGACGAATGAAGACTCCGAATGCGGCCCGCTCATCACCACCAGGTAAGTGCCCACATGCATCAGTCATCCCTTGGCTTTCCTCATGCCATCCCTCATGCAAGGACCACCACTCAACCTCCCAGGGTATGGCGCCAGCAGCCCATTTATGGCTGCTGCGGTCAGGATGCTCCCTTGCAGCTTCTTCCTCGCGCCCCGCCAGCGCCCTACCTTATATGCCCGACCTTCATCCAGCAAGCCATCGCTCCAGCAGCGCTGCCGCAGTCCACCCAGCCAGAATGTGTTGAAGCGAGTTACCTCATTTCCTTTTGTGCACTCCCTGGCTGAACGAGGCAGGCTCTGGATGCTCGGCCTCTGTGCCAGTAGCTGCGCCCAGGCCCCTTCCAGAATGTGCCCGAGGCTCAACTGTAAGTGACCTGGGCCTCAGCATCTTTGCTGGGCCCAGCATCATCAACCGATCTGCCCTACCAGTTGGATGGAGATGCTGCGTGTAGCAACCAACCCACGAACCCACGGTGCCCTGTCTGCTCACATTGGCCTCAAAACAGGCCTCATCGAATTTTCCAGGAGCCCACCTTCACTTATGGCGGGCGCAGACAGTTTCCAGCAGGTGCAGGCCCTTTCCAACTGAAAGGATTTCACACTGTCAGCCCCAAGTCCAGTCCCGGATTCACAATTGGTCCCAGTCCCAGGTCGCCCCAGTAGGGCGAAACGTTGTAGGTCAGTTGGAGTCAGGTACTGAAGCATCACCGGTAGGTAAAAATCCGCAGGTACAGGACGAGGAAGTCAAGTCCCATCCCAAAGTCCAATTTTGCAGCAGTGTCCCAAGAAAGTCCGAAGACTTTCGGAACACTAAATTTTGCAATAGAGGCCGCGGGCAACCGGTACCAGTCCGGAGCAGGCACATACAAACAACTGTAGCTACTAATAGTTGCCACGGTGCCAAGGACAACACGTTGTTCATTCACAACGTTACATAAGCGCTGCTGGTTGCTTGTGCGAGAGAGACGGTTAACAACATATGCTATTTACAGGTCACTTTCAGCCGCTTTAGACAGGTGCTGGGGACTTGGATGGGGGGATCTGAAACCCGTTTCAAAAGCTTCAGCCACTTCAAGTCAGTGGCTGAAAATCTGAAAGCAGTTTTAAGTCCCCCCATCCAAATGGTTGGATGGGGGTACCTGAACCCCTTTTAGAAGCTTCAACCACTTCAGGTCATTACAGCAGTTTCAGGTCCCCACTTGGAATTCCTGAAATGACCTGAAGTGAGCGAAAATCTGAAAGCAATTTCAGGTCCCCCCATCCAAATGGTTGGATGGGGGTACCTGAAACCCCTTTCAGAAGCTTCAGCCACTTCAGGTCATTACAACGGTTTCAGGTCCCCACCTGAAACTCCTGAAAAGACCTGAAGTGGCTGAAAATCTGAAAGCGGTTTCCAATGCCCCCGTGCAACCATTTAGATGGGGAGACCTGAAAGCGCTTTTAGAAGCTTCAGCCACTTCAGGTCATTTTAGGTGCCACACATCAACGTTAAACCAAAAAGTTGGCAAAACCCCCATAAAAGTCGACCCCCAAACCACCCGAAACTCTTGAAATGACCTGAAGTATCTTCGGGCCATTTCAACGGTTTCAAAGCACTTTAGAATATTTCATTCGAAAATTTAAGGTGGTTGTTAACCATTAGTGAGGGGGAGAGGAGAGAGGGAGGAGGAGAGAGACATGGCAAAAGGGAAAGGTGGTGCGTATGGTGGCGCTCGAGCCAGGTGGAGGAAAACGGTGAAGGATTTGCGATGGCGAGACAAGTACGTAGGAGAAAGGTGGAGCATGGAGTAGGAGGAGAGAGTGAGAGGGGGATGGTTGAAGGAGGTATCGATGGCGGAAGCAGAGAGAGTGTGAGAGAGAGAGAGGATAATGAGAGACAGAGAGAGTGAGAGAGAGAGACGTGGTAGGAGAAAGGTGCACCTGGAGTAGGACGAGAAAGGTGGTAGGAGAAAGGTGGTCATGGCTGAAGGAGTCGCGATGGCTTGAACATGAAAGGAGGTAGGAGGAACGTGTGATGGCGGGAAGGAGGATAGCAAAATGAGGAGGTGGCACTAATGGTTAACGACCACCTGAAATTTCCGAATGAAAGATTTTGAAGTGCTTTGAAACCGCTGAAATGGCCCGAAGACACTTCAGGTGAGTTTCGGGTGGATTGGGGGTCGACTTTTATGGGTTTTTTTTTTTTTGTGCCTATTTTTGTTTTGGTTTAACGTTGATGTGTGTCACCTGAAACGACCTGAAGTGGCTGAAGCTTCTGAAAGCGCTTTCAGGTCCCCCCATCTAAATGGTTGGGTGGGGGCATTGGAAACCACTTTCAAATTCTCAGCCACTTCAGGTCTTTTCAGGAGTTTCATGTGAGGACCTGAAACCGTTGTAATGACCTGAAGTGGCTGAAGCTTCTGAAAGGGGTTTCAGGTACCCCCATCCAACCATTTGGATGGGGGGACCTGAAATTGCTTTCAGATTTTTGCCCACTTCAGGTCATTTCAGGAATTCCAGGTGGGGACCCGAAACCGTTGTAATGACCTCAAGTGGTTGAAGCTTCTAAAAGGCGTTCCAGGTACCCCCATCAACCATTTGGATGAGGGGGACTTGAAACCGCTTTCAGATTTTCATCCACTGACTT